TGTATAATTTTTTAAAAAATTATGCAAGTGTGCCAGCGCATAGAACTTTTCGGAAAACATAAGAATAAGTTCGGAACTACACTAGAACTGTTTTAGAATAGCCAGAACTATGAGATTTCGACCAGCGTCTCATAGGTATGTGTTTTAAGGCCACTTTTTCGAGGATTATAATTTGTTAAAAAATTATGCAAGTGTGCCAGCGCATAGACCTCTTTGGAAAACATTAGAATAGGTTCGGAACTACACTAGAACTGTTTTAGAAGAGCCAGAACTCTGAGATTTCGACCAGCGTCTCGCGTTCGTCCGTATTAAGATGTATCTCTCGACTGATAAAAATTATTTAAAAATTGAAAAACAACGTTTTTTCACCAGAACTCTTGCTAGAACTATTGTAGAACTCTAGGGCGCTTGAAATCCGATAAATAGCCGTCGGGAAATAGGCGGAGGACAAAGTGAGACGCTGGGTGAAGTTGGCGGTTTTGTTCCTCTCTCACTTTGCACTAATCGATTTTTTGGCTTTAAAGGCCAGAACTATGTGTTTAATGTATCAGGAACTCTAGAACTATTCTAAAAGAAGCCAGAACTCTCAATAGTTAATGAGTTTCCACGAAATGAGACGCTAGCTTCACATACACAGGAGAAAGTCATCTAACAATAAATAGACAACAGAGAGAAAACCTTTTTCACGAAGGGAAAACATAACAGGTTTCAGAATTTTGGTAAAGATTTACGGCGCCGATGCAAGACCAAAAGGTAAGGCTCGAAATTGAAAGAGTTGTCCGTGAAAACGAAACCGCAGGAACTTTCTATCGTCCTGAAAAATTGGTACTAGCAAGTATGCGTCCTGCAGATCAATTGAGGCCATAAAGTCGTTTGGAGAAAGGAGGCGGGTAACCGTCCTCCAGTCCTCTAACTTAAAATGTGGAGCGAGAACATATTTATTTAAAGTCTTGAGATTTAAGATAAATCTACAACCGCCTGAGGCCTTCTTAATTATAAAAAATGACGATAAAAATTGTCCTTCACAGTCTGCTACGGTCTCAATTGCTCCCCTGCTACGAGGACTGTTGATTTCCCGGTAACAATTTTCCTCCTCAGGCTTCGATAAATGAATTAATGGCTCAAAGGTCTGAGGAGGTGGACAAGATCTAAAAGGTAATCTGTAGCCCGAAACAGCCTGAAGAACTACTGGATCTGAAGAAATCTCCCTCCACTTAGTAAGGAAAAGAGATAATCTGCCGGCAATAGGTACCTGAAAATCTTCTATTGTCTCCTCGAACGGGACCTGGAGTGACTCGGCGACCGGCGACTGCGGCTCGACGCCCCTGACTTCCTTATCGCTGGTCTGTAGTTCGATCTCCTCTTCGAAGCAGGGGCGCGGAAGTTTCTCGAATTGGCTGAAGTTACCTGCGATTGCTTAATTGGCTGTTGTATTCTTTTGGACAATGTCAAGGTTGCTCTCGTAATATCCTTGGCTGATTTTTCCATTGTGGTAGCCTTTTTAATCTCTTCACCAAAGGAAGATCCGAATAACAATTTGTCCGCTGGAATAACCTCGGCAGTAGTTTTAGCCAGCAAATTGAAAGTAGATTTTATTTGTGCCCTCCGAGACAATGAAAGACGGTAAAAAAGATCTGCGAGGATCTTAGCTCCGTCATTGACTTTAGATACCGCTAGACGGGCTTCGGGACTCAGAGAATTCTGAGTCTCAGGTTTGAGAAAGTCTGAGATAGCTTCTCCTAATGCGAATAAGGCCACACCTACTTGATTCTGGCTTGCACAGCTGTGTTCGTCTCTCTTGACCACTGAGTTACTCTTGAGAGCCGACTTACATTCAGCATTAAGTTCTGGAGCCCTAAGAAAGTCCATTTCGTTGGAAGGCGAATATTTGTCAATTAAGATGGTGCGTTGACCCTCCACCAATCCGCTACGGACGAGGTCACGCCATTTTTGCGAGACCCGATCGTTCCAGGCTATGGTCTCTGAACTCTCTAGTTCAGCACCGAAAAGCTCCCTTGACAACAAATCCGTCTCGTCAGACGCCCTGGGATTGACGACCGTTACCTGAATATCCAGAGATGAGGGCGAAGGAGGAGCTTTTCCCGAATGATCCATATCCGGGACTATAAATGAAAAGCGGTTATTCCGAGAATCGGAAAAGATTGTGTCGATTCCGCTGCCTGATTAACAAGGCCGAGATATTCGTACACACCTGAAACGTGCGGATCGCTTGGCCTATCCTGCCGAGCAGGCGTTGCCAAAGTGCCGCCGTTCGAGAAGGGGGTCATCTCGGAAACTTCCTCATTGGAGAGATCCCCTGAACAAATCTCGCTACCTGACGCAAGGTCATCGTGGTTTGCAGGAATGGAAGATGGACAATAAAAAGAGACGCCTGGCGCTCCAACCTCTCTGTCCGATAAGAGATTAATTAGAAGAGTGAGCCTCTCCTCGATACCCGCTAACTTGTCCCCTGACGACGACCTCTTCCTCTTCTTTGATTTATGAGATGATTTACCCATTACGACGACAAGAACTGTATATAAACTTGAAATAGCAACTCTGAAAATAATCTTGCTGTTGGATTACACGCACAACAGGAAAACAATGAAGAATCCAGGCAAGCACAGGCCGCGCGTGGTGCGGGGCAACGTGCGTGTTTTTTTAACACGCTTTAAAAATACCTGTTAGTAACAGCGCGACGGAACGCACTACATAGTATCCATCCGGACGAGACGAGGCACAATAAATAATTATATAAATACATACTATATATTATATACATATATGACATAACCGTACGACAAGCTACAGAGGTATATGCTGGTTTCGCATAGATGCTGTTTGTTATGTAAGCTACTGACAATACAGGGAAGTACAATATTAAAGTAACTTTAAAATTATCTATGTACATACATACTCATTTCATATGCTAGGCTTTCGGTGAGCGATTATTTGTAATCCCCGTATCAGACTACGGATTGTGATGGAGACTAGCTTGAAATTTGACCAATGAGTGTAATGGCTCCAGCAGACCAGTGCGACAACGCGACGCGCAATAATCCAATGGGCGTACAGTCTTTATAGGAAAATTGTACGCTTTCCCATAAAACTTGTACGCTCATTGGATAATTACGCGTCGCGCATCGCGTTGTCGCGCTGGTCAGCTGGAGCTATAAAAGTTACGGTAATTATGCATAAAAGCGACTTCCTCTCCGATTTGTTTTATTTTTAAATATGTTGTTGGGGATGTCTTCCCGGGTCATTTTATATATATATATATATATATATATATATATATATAAGGGGGGACTCAAATAGTTTCGGAGATACAGGCTGAGAAAGGATACAAATAATAAATATATTTCCTAACTCGTACTTCCGCCGTTGTACTGTTCCACATGGGTTTGCAACTTTCCACGTGAAGCGAGATCCACTCCACACCTCTGACATAGGGTGGGTAGTAGGGTGGAGCATTCAAAAAAATTTTTTAATTTTACAACGCCCGTAGGTGGAAGCGATGCGAATTTGTTTAAAAATAAAAATTTGAAAAGTTTTGACTCGATCGGAGCTCAACTTCTGCCTCCAACTTTAGTTTGAAAATTTGATTATAGGAGTAAAATCATAAAAATTAAAAAAGACGCAATTAAAAATTTCAAGAAATTTGTAATTCTATTTTCATCAACAGTTTAAAGTGTTATATTCTAGTATATTAAAAAATTAAACCAAATGAAATATATGTATAAGAGTAGGTCATTTTGTGTTTACGTGGACGTACACACAAAATGACCTGCTCTTATACATATATTTCAACTAGAAAAAAACATGTCTATCAACTTTCTCGACACGACTATCATTAGAAATAACGAAAACCTTTTAACAAACTGGTTCCGAAAACCCTCGTTTTCCGGCCGCTATATCAATTTTTACTCCAACCATCCAATTAAATATAAAACTAATATTATAACGAATCTAGTCGACCGAGCCATTTTATTGTCAGACGAGCGGTTTCATGATTCCAATATTGACACAGTTAAAGACATCCTAAAGAACAACTGCTTCCCAACGCACATTATAGACAAATTCATCAAAAAAAGACTCAAAGAGATAAAATACAGCGACGTTATACCTAGTTCCAATAAGGAAAAGAACCAGTTCCTACACAACAAGCACATAGTTACAGTTCCTTACATACAGAACATAAGTAACAATATTAAAAATATTTTAAACGATAGAGGTTTCTACACTATATTTACCATCCCTAAGAAACTAAACTGCATCATCAAAACAGGGAAAGATCCTCTCGACAAACTCAATCAAAAAGAATTGATATACAAAATTGAATGTAAGGATTGTGACGCTTGTTATGTAGGACAAACGAAACGACACCTAAAAACACGTATAAAAGAACATGAGGCCAACATCAAGAGAGAACACAGTGCACACTCAGTGGTCAGCCAACACCGTGAAACTCTACATCATGATTTCAATTGGTTGAACACTAAAATATTACGGAGAAACACACAAAGAAACGAGAAATCGCTGAAATGATCTTCATAAAGAAAGAAAACAAGTCTATTAATTTACAGAACGACACGGACAACCTTTCCAAGATATATGACAAGATAATACGAATTTTATAAATATTAACGTCCGTTCGTGCTCTCCTCCTTGTCATTACAGTCTAAACCACGGAAGTGTGCGCTGTGATCGTCTCGAGATACTCTCAGATGTACGGACACATGGATCCTGCTTGTTACTCGAATCCAAAGAACCGAATTAATTAATTGACGAACATTACGTGTGAGTTAGAAAGACATTTTCAATTTATATTCTAAAAGATAATTGATCCTACAGTTAAGCCAACACAAAAACCTTACAATATATTCATAAACAGTGCGTGCGTTTTACAAAGACATCAAACATATATTGAAAAAACTAATTTATAATTATAATGTTATAGATAAGACTTATTGCTGCCACAATAACTTGTTATCCGTAAATGCTTGTCTCTTAAACTAACCTGAAGAGGACTGCGATTGGCAGTCGAAACGTTGTTAATTTGAAAAATTAAATATAGCCAGTTATGTCGAAACAATGGATTGATTATTGATTTCATTACTGGTGAACAAAAACATTACCAACAACATGTTAATTTATGACTTTATGTTAATTTTGCAACTCCGTAGTGTTCTTTGATTTCGCGAAATTTTCGAAATTTAAATCCTTCCAATTCCCACCTTGCTTCTTACAATTAGTGTAAAAGCATCTTCGAGGAAAATCAACTGTCATGCGAAAGATTAAAGTAGAGGCTTCGCCCTTTAAAATGAGCCCAGGGTGATTGCTGCACGATTTCTTTTTTTCACGAAGTTGTAACAGTTCTAAAATCGACAATTTTTCGGCAATAATTTAGTGATCCTTTAATTATGCTCTTGAGTGTAGATATGTTAATGAAAGATAGAAATTTTAAAGATTGGAATTATTGTAATGAAATAACGATTCCTATGTGT